CATACTGCAGTGAGAAAATAAGAAAAAAACACAACACAAAATATTCCTTTAAGCTTTGCAACTTCACTAAAGTTTACCGATACATCGAGTTTTCGAGTATTGATAAGCTGTGTAGATTTTATAACCAATCAGTCCTTTGTATGTGTTTTGTAAGTATCACTATTCTCCATTTTCTTTAGTTATTTCAATAATATTATTGCTATAATGTGAGAAAAACTTGAATAATATTGTTAATTTGTATGCCCATGAACCTTATTTTGATCTGTGTATTAATACAAGACTAACGTAAATCTCCTAATCTAACCTCATAAGTTGTTATTAGGATTATGACCGAAAATGTCGCTAATAGCGAGGGCAACTCACATTAATTTGCTTCAATGTATCGTAATTATTATGGGTTGTAGTTTTAGTTTGGTCGGTTTTGTTGTGTAGAATTGACATTTTAGTTCTTATCTGTATAGTTATCTAACTTTTTATCATAAATTATTAATAATATAATGATCGTCTCAAACAAGCTTAAATCGGCTAGCTCCTTCTCTTGAAACCTTTAATAAGTACGGTATATTCCATAATATTATTTGAGGATATTTAATATACGTTTATAAGTGAACCAAAAAACATATTCAACATAATCATTTGTCGGGCGTATTAAACATTTTACTGTATTTTGATGATTGTCAGCAGTATTTTATAGAAACACGTAATGATTATTTAACAGGGATAAAACTAAATAAACTTCCTTTCTGAAAGCTAATAATTTATTTTGCCTTTACGACAGATAATAACGGGGTTCTTTAGAGCAGCTTCTTCGATAAACAATTGCCTTCTGATTACAGAGAGAGAGAGAGAGAGAAAGAAGAAAAAGCTCTCATTGCTATTTAATCCTCTTCCAAAGCTTCCAGGGGGAGTAAGATAGATGGGAAAGTGAACAAACCTCAGCCACATATCGATTGTTGGAGTAAGATAGATGGGAAAGTGAACAAACCTCAGCCACATATCGATTGTTGGAGTAAGATAGATGGGAAAGTGAACAAACCTCAGCCACATATCGATTGTTGGTTTCACTCATTGTCGACAGTCGAAGACAGACTGGGAAGAGGTAATCTGTCTCTTAAGATTCTCTTGTTTGGACACAGAGAAAAGATTCTCATAAAAACAGAGTAACAGACTATATCAAAATAACAATAACATGCCAATCACTGTTCTCAGTAAAAAATGTGTAAGAATTACATGCATGTGTAGAAATTACGACTTACGGAATACACATTTATCCGTAAAATTGTCTGTGTAATATGTAGAAATCTGCGAATTAAGTTATGAAGAAATATACATATTCATTAAATATATATACATATGACAGTATGCTCTCATAACGTTTATTATACACATTTATTTACGAAATGTTATGTTTATTTACTCATAAAATATTTCATATATGTAAATAAACACATAATATATATATATACATGTGGTTTAAACCAGTAACTACATTTACAATGACTTTTTCGTCAGTGATATATGCTCTTAGCAATCTCTTCTAATTTGTAACTAAAATTGCCTAGAAATGGTTATATGTAACAATGTTTAAGGGAATCATGCAGCTGCGATTGGTTAAAAAAACCTAGATTAATCATTCCACAATTTAACGACCGTATACATCCATATCTTCTCTTGCTAGAGTCAATAGTTCAAGTTTAAAAACTTACTGTCATGCTTTGAACACGCAGATTTATTTTCGCTTGAAGATTTCTCTCAACTAAAGTTTTGTATAATCAAGGCTAAGCAAAGGTTCTTATTGAACAATAGCAATTAACCCCCAAAGGGAATACACAGGGTTACCAAGAGCGAAGGAGTAGAGAATATTGATCGTTGTGTATACGAAGTAAAACGGTTAAAAGAAAGAACAATATGGTGAAAGTCAATATTTGCATTGAGCTTGAATTTAATATAGAAAAGACCGGGACTTAGATATCCGACTGTCTGTTTGTCAGCTTTAAGCCTAACGTGTAGGAATATAAATATATGGCACTGTACAGGTGTGTTGAAATTGGTGTTCGAGAAGATAAATCCTGCTTGTCATTCTCTTCTAGAGAAGCCGACAGAAAAGTCTCTTTTGAAATTAACAAATATTTATGTAAACAACATATAAGATTACGTTACTGATCACGAGTGTAGCTAATGAAACTAAAGTAAACTTGATGTGAAGAGAGTTTTATAATTTTCTTTTTTACTTCGATAATCCGGAAACCTGATGCATATAGATGCTTCTAGATTTCTAAGTTCCAGTCGTCATATATGTA